CTCCTTAAAAAAAAAAAAAAACACGACGCTTAAAATGTAATCCGGGGTTTGTTTTACGTCACTAAAACCAACACAAAGATCGAGATTATTCGAACATCATCTAACGTGCGGTTCTCTCTCTCCTCTCTCTCTCTCTCCCCCTCCCCTTCCCTTCTCTTCTCCTTCCCCCTCCCTCGCCCAGGTCACAGAAGCTCCCCTGTGCCACAACCCACCGCCACAGCTCACCACACACTGCCCCCTTTTGCGGCCGCTCCAGTTCTCCCCGACGCCCTGCCCCCCCCCCCTCCCTCCTTCCCCTTCCCCACCCCCTTCTCTCCCCTATCCTCTCTCCTTCCCTTCCCCACCCCCTTCTCCCTCCCCCTATCCTCCCTCCCTTCTTCCGTCCCCTTATCCTCCGTCTCTCCCTCCCTCCTTCCTTCCCTCCCCACCCCCTTCTCCCTCCCCTCCTTCCCCTTCCCCCCCTCTCCCCCCTATCCTCCTCCCTTCTTCTGTCCCCTTATCCTCCGTCTCTCCCTCCCTCCCTCCTTCCCTCCCCACCCCCTTCTCCCTCCCCTCCTTCCCCTTCCCCCCCTCTCCCCCCTATCCTCCCTCCCTTCTTCCGTCCCCTTATCCTCCGTCTCTCCCTCCCTCCCTCCTTCCCTCCCCACCCCCTTCTCCCTCCCCTCCTTCCCCTTCCCCCCCCTCTCCCCCCTATCCTCCCTCCCTTCTTCTGTCCCCTTATCCTCCGTCACTCCCTCCCTCCCTCCTTCCCTTTCCCCACCCTCTTCTCCCTCCCCCTGTCCTCCCTCCTTTCTTCCGTCCCCCTGATCCTCCGCCTCTCCCTCCCTCCTTCCTTCTCTCCCCCACTCACTCCCTCCACTCCTTCCCTCTATCCTTCCTCCCTCTCCTCTTCTTCCTCCCCCCCCCCCTATCCTTTCCTCCCCCCTTCCTTCATCCTCTCTGCGCCCCGACTGACGCAATCCGGAACTTGGCCAAGACAGAGCTATCCCACGACCACGGGGAGGTTCGCACGTACAGACAAACAGACACACGGACGGACGGACAGACAGAGACACGCACAAACCACACACGCACACACATTCCACGCGAACGCCCTCTCTTTCATTCATTCTCTCTCTCTCTCTCTCTCTCTCTCTCTCTCTCTCTCTCTCTCTCTCTCTCTCTCTCTCTCTCTCTCTCTCTCTCACTCACTCTCTCACTCACTCTCTCAATCACTCTCACTCTCTCAATCACTCTCACTCTCTCAATCACTCTCACTCTCTCAATCACTCTCTCTCTCACACACACTCTCTTACACTCACTTTCTCTCTCACTCTCTCCCTTTCTCTCTCTTTCTCCTTTCTTTCTCACTCACTCACTTTCTCTCCCTCTCCCTCTCCCTCTCCCTCTCTCTCTGCCAGCCATCCTCATCCTGTTGGCCACAGCCCCGAATTAGCCCACAATGGGAACGGTTGAGTGCCTCTCTCAATGCGCTCTCGGGGTCTCTCTCTCTCTCTCTCTCTCTCTCTTTCTCTCCCTTTCTCACTCTCTCTTTCTCTCCCTTTCTCTCTCTCTCTCTCTCTCTCTCTCTCTCTCTCTCTCTCTCTCTCTCTCTCTCTCTCTCTCTCTCGCTACTTCTCTGGTGGGCATTCTATCATACGCGAAGGTAGGGGAGGAAGGAAAAGGAAGAGAGAAGGAGAGAGAATTGAAAGAAATCGATAGAGAGAAAATAAAGAGAGAAACGGAGACAAAGCGAGGAAGGAAAAGATGAAAGGTAAGCGACACGCAAAATAAGAGACGAAAAAGAAAAAGAAAATAAAGCAGAAAAAATATATAACAATGACGAAGAAAACCGACGAGAAAAGAAGAAAACCCTACCACAATCCACCCGGACGACGAAGATAAAACGACCACCTCCCAAAACGACCGAACGACCTCAATATAACGACCAACTTCCAAAACGACCGAACGACCTAAAAAAAAGACCTTCCAAAACTACCGAAGGACCTCAATAAAACGACCGAACGACCTAAAATAAAACGACCGAATCTAAAATAAAAATACCTACTTCCATAACGACCGAACGACCTAAAAAAAAATACTCCCAAAACGACCTAAAATAAAACGACAAACTTCCAAAACGACCGAACAACCTAAAATAAAAAATACCTACTTCCATAACGACCGAACGACCTAAAATAAATACTCCCAAAACGACCGAATGACCTAAAAAAAAAAATACTCCCAAAACGACCGAACGACCTAAAATAAAACGACCAACTTCCAAAACGACCCAACTCATAACTAATGACTATCTGCATCTCCCTCTCCCCCCCTCCCCCCCCCCTTCTAGTTCCTCGGGAAGTAGCCATTGAGAGACGCGGATATACTCCTCATTCACCCCCCCCTACCCCCTACCCCCCCACCCCCCACGCCCCAACCCACACTCCACCCCATTCATGGTTTCGAGATTCCGACGCAGACACGAGGGAACAGAAGAATAATGGTGATAATAATAGTAGTGATGATGATTGTGATGATTATGATAATGATGATTGTAGTGATGATGATAATTGAATGTGATTGTGATTGTGATTATGATAATGATGATTGTGATGATGGTAATGATGACTGAGGATTGTGATTATGATGATAATTGTGATAATAATAATAGTGATGGTGACGATGAAGCTAATAAAAATATCAATATTAATAATTCTTATTACCCTTTTTTAATTATCATTATCAGTATTATCATCATTGCCATCACCATAATGATAACAGACTAAGATGGGAAAAAAATTTAAAAAACGAGGTAGAGGCAAGGGAAAACAAACAATGACTCGCAATAAGAAAAATAATTTTGAAAAAAAATGAACAGGAACAAAGCAACAAAAACAAAAACATTATTTAGGAACAAAACTAAATATTGAAATAAATAAATGAAAATAAAATACGATATAAAAAAGGATAACGAATAAAATACGATATAAAAATAAGAATACCGAATGAAGAAAAAAGGTAACAACAAAAAAGAAAATAAAGATAAGGAATAACAACGAACACAACGGATAAAGATATACACAAAAAATGATAATATGGAAGAAGGAAGAGGTTTAATAACAAACACAAAAATAAAGATAACATTCACAGATTTAAAGGCAAATAAAATGATAAAGGAAAAAATATAGAGAGAATTAACAGAAAAATAACAACTGGTGAAAGAAAGAAAGCAAGACAGAAAGACAGAAAGAAAGAAAGAAAGAAAGAAAGAAGAAGTAGAAGAAGAAGAAGCAGAAAGTGAAGAAGTTGAACAAGAACAAGCAGACAAACAAAAAGAAAACTAATAATAATAATAATAATAATAATAATAATAATAATAATAACAATAATGATAACAACAATAATAATAACAATATTAATAATAACGATGATGATGATAATAATAATAATAATAATAATAATAATAATAATAATAATAACAATAATGATAACAATAATAGCAATAACAACAATAATAAAAACATCATCAATAATAACAACAACGACAATAATAATAATATTAACCACAACAACAATAATAATACGAATAAGAACGAAAAGCAAAACGAAGAGGACGAGGAAGATAAACGCGAAGAAACAGCCCCAGCTAAGCATTACATCTTGAGTGAGCTCCTTGTGATTACAGTCGCTATAAATATCATTCACAGAATAAGAATAAAACTGGCATTTGTTCGAGAGAGAGAGAGAGAGAGAGAGAGAGAGAGAGAGAGAGAGAGAGAGAGAGAGAGAGAGAGAGAGAGAGAGAGAGAGAGAAAAGGGAGGGAGGGACTTATTTGGTTGAGATAGCGAGGGAGAAGAGTTACGGTCTTGCCTTCTGGTCTTATCTAGAGAGATCAGAGTATCGATTCTCGTAACTATGTAGGTAGATAGAGAGGAGAGCAATATAGCGCAGAGCAACTATCTATGCTATCCTACTCGCTCTACATCTCTACTAACGATCTATCTATAGATAGATAGACTAGCGCTCGTCTATCGAGCCGTGGATTTCTCTCTTTCTCTCTCATCTTTCTCTCATCTATTCTCTCTATTTTCTCCTTGTTTTTTCTTTCTTATGTTGCTTTCCTCTTTTTAGTCTTTTACTTATTTTCTTCTTCTCTCTGCTCGCTCTCAACTACTCGCTTCTGCTTTCTCGCTTTCTCTCTTTGCTCTATTTCTGCTTCTTTCTCTCTTTCTCTCTTTTCGCTCTATCTAATCTCTTCTCTCTATCTATCTCTGATCGTTACGATTTCTTTCCTCTATCATCTCTTTCATTTTCATTATATCTATCTATTCTTTCTTCTAATCTATCTACTTTCGTTATTACTATTTCTCTATTTCTTTCTCTATATCTCTGATCTTTCTGTCTTTCGCTCTCTCTTTCTCACTCTTTCGATCTTCCTTTCTACTATCTCTTCATCTCGATCTATCTACTCTCTTCCTTCTTCTATCTCTATCAGATCTGAGATATCTATGCAGACTATAGATCGCGCTCTACTGATACTCTATTCTCTGAGCATCGAAGTTTTCTTGTACTCCCTTCCTGATATTTTGCTCTTTTTTTTCTTACCTTATGTTACCGAGATAGAAATCATTAGGTAAACGAGAGACGGAAAGGCAAACAGAGAGAGGGAGACGGCGATAGTGACATAGATAGATAAACAGTGAGAGGGAAACGAACGATAAAAAAGAAATTTAAAACGCAACACACAAGAAAGAAAAATAAACCAAACCAAATAAAACAGAGGAAACAGGATAATAATAATAATAATAATAATAATAATAATAATAATAACAATAATAATAATAACAAGAACAAGAACAAGAACATCATCAATAACAATAATAATAATAATAATATTAATATCAATAACAATGATAACAATAACAGAGAAAACAACAACAACAATAACAACAACAACAATAATAACAACAATAATAACAACAATGATAATAAATGCACCACAGCCTCCCCATCCCCC